CAGCGTGCAGGGCAGCGCTGGCAGGCAGGGCAGGCCAACGCTGGGCAGCGTGTAAGGCAGCTCTGGCGGCGGCCAGGCAGGGCAGAGTAGCAGCTGCAGTGCGGGAAGGGTGCGTACATGCGGCGCAGGGCAGGGCACGGGCTGTGCGGGCAGAGCGTGGGCGGCGCATGGGCAGCAGGGGCAACGCGCCTGCAGAGCTCGGGCGGCACAGCAGGGGCAGCACGCAACGCCTCGTGCAGCAGGCAGAGGGCGCTAAAGGGCAGCGCGCGGGTGCAACAGGGCAGTGCACAAGTGCGGCTTCGCGTCCGGCAGTGCGCAGCAGCAGCGCGCAGCAGGGGCATGACGCGCGCGTAGGAGAGACGCGTGCGATGCGTGAGGCAGCAAGGGACGCGCGGCGGGGAAGAAAACGGTGCTCTAGCGGGCAGAAAAACGGCGCGCTAGCGGGGCACGCCACGGGCAGCGGAAGGGGAGCGGTAACGGGCAGCCTGAAAGAAAAACTATGATCCCTAACGGATGGTCTAAAGGACCTAGTGACTCTTAATACCATGCTAGAATAGCTAGGAAGGAATGGCACGGATTAGGGCAAGGAGGGGGATACAATGAAGTGTCGAGCAAATTACTGTACCCCCTAAGGCTAAACCCACTACAGCCTAGATAACAGTAAACATATAATTTGACAGCTACACTTTAAACATGGTGCTTTGGCAAATTTCTAAAATGTACCCTTACACAATAAGTGTGCGAAAAAAATTTACCCTTGTGTGGACAGGGTGGAGGAAAAACCATCCTTGCAGTCATGGTGATGTTATCCTCGCACCCTAATACTTAAGGGTGCGCTAAAACCAAAAATAGTCCCTAGGTCCACCTTACCCTGCTCAATTTCATCCTTGACAAAAAAGTATCGGAGCGCGATGTGCTTGGTGCGGTTGACGAATCCTGGCTTATTCACGATTTTGATGGTGCTTTGGTTGTCGCAGTGAAGGCGAAAAGTGGGGGAAGTTGGAATTTTTGCTTCCTGCAGCAGCTCTTGCAGGTTAAGTCCTTCGCGAACTTCGGCTGTTGCGGTGATATACTGTGCTTCGGTCGACGACAGGGCAACCAGTTCCTGCTTCTGCGAATTCCAGGAGAATTGGCCCCGTCGGCTCCAGATGGAAGACAAAGCCGGTTCGTGACCGTCGATTTGCAGGGTCAGCGGCATGGTCTGCGTCCACATAGCCGGTGAGGTTGAAGGAGTTTGTTGTCAATGTGGAGTAGGAAAGCCCGATGTCAGGTGTGGAGATGAAGTACTGTAGGGCGCGCTCCAGGTCCAGCTGGTTCTCAGCCACTAGCTTTCGAAAGTATTGTGCCAGTTGGCTGGCAATGTATGAAAGGTCGGGTCGGCAAGTGACGGAGGCGAAGAACAGGCACCCCAACTGTTGCTGGTAGAGTTGAAGTCTTGCGGGTGACAGAGGTTTGTTGTCCGGTTTGTAGTTGGCGCTGGGAGTGCGGTAGGGAGTTGAGAGTGGTGCGGGCAAGATTTTGAAGCGTTCTCCAAGCTGCTCAGCGTACTTGGAGGCTGACAGATGAATTGCTTCTGGCGCGTAAGAGATGTTCAGCCCCAGAAACGGTGTGGCTTTGTGGTTGATGGTGATGTCAACGCGCTGCGCCAGGTTTGCCTCGAACTGATTCAGAAGCTTGTTGCATGTGCCAATGTACAGTAGGTCGTTGACGTAGACTGTTAAAAGGATGTAATCGTTGTTGAAATGGAGGCGGTACATTCCCGGGTCGTGCGGCAGCTGCCTGAAGCCGATGTCCAGCCGTATCTTGTGCAGGTGCTGGTGCCAGAGACCCAGCACCTGCTTTATCCTGTAGAGAGATTTCTTCAGCTGTTGGAGACGCCAGTATCTCCTCCGTAGGTGTATGGTTGCTCCACGAAGATGGTTGCATCCACCAGCCCGTATAAAAACACGTTCTTGACGTCGATCTGCGATGGCGAGTAGGATCCTGACGGAGGTATGGCGGCTGACGGGGGCAAAGGTTTGGTCAAAATTGATGCCGTGGTGCTGGTCATACCCACATACAACCCAACGTGCTTTGAAATGCTCAATAGTTCCGTCAGCGGCAGTTTTAAGACGGAAGACCCATTTTCCGCTTAGCACCCTCCTCCCCTTCACTGCTGCACGATCGACTAGGATCCACGTGTCGCGTGACTCCAGTGCTTTCAGCTCCACATCCATAGTTGCTCGCCACTCTTTAGCTTGTGATCCCGAAAGGGCCTGTCGCGGGTTCTTAGGTTCGATGGGTCGCGGGGTGGTAGTGACAATTGTGTGAAGACCAAGGAGCTGGAGGCCTGTGACGTTGCCTGCGGCTTCTTGATTGGTGACTTCTACGACATCGTCATCGTCGCTCTCGGGAGTGGGTGAGGGGTTACTTGGGGGGTTGGTGCGTCGTGATGGTCCAGGGCCGGGGGCGTCGTTACTGTCATCGTCGTCGTCATCGCGCGGGCGAGGAGGTACTCGGGATGTCCGTCCTCCGGGAGGCAAAGCTGCGTCCGCTGTTGGTGTAGGCTCGTGCGACGTTGCGGAGCCGGTCCTCAGGTCCATGAGGTATGCCGGTCTGGTTCATGAGGGCGCGGACCTTGGTCATAAGGGTGCGGTTGACCCTCTCTGCGACACCTTGCTGCTGGTGGCCGTAGGGGAGCGAGATTTGGTGTTTGATCCCTTTCTTCGCGAGGAGCCTCTCCAATTCGTTGTTGCGGAATTCCTTGGCGCCATCTGTCTGCCAGATTTTCAGCTTCCTCCCTAATTCCCGTTGTGCGTGAGCGAGCCAGAAGCGGAAGATTTCAGACGCCTTGGAGCGGACGTCCACGTTTGCGATCAAGATGTTGCATGAGTACGCGTCCACGAAGGTGAGCGTGTGATTTTCGCCGTTGATTCCTTCGGAGGTAAAAACGATGTAGTCGCTGTAGACATTCTGCAGCTTTTTGTAGCGGTTGGTGCTCGGCTCCAGTGAGGGATAAGCTTGGTGCGTAAGGGCAGCAGTGGGGCAGACGATGCAGGTGGTTGGATGTGTTGTGCTAAGGGTTTCCGTGTCGTCAGGGCGCAGCAGTGCCCCTGGAAGGAAGATTCTGGCGCAGAGACAGTTGTTGAATGTCTGGCGCGAGGGATGACCGAGTCGCTGGTGCCAGAGATCATCGTCTGCGCGAATCCCCAAAGTGCGTAGGTATCGTGCGTGATGTTCCGCCGTCTCTACTTCTATCTCGTGGGGGATGAGGAGCACTTTTCCTTCTTCTTCTCCGGGCTTTGCTTCGTTGTCCTGCTCCCCCCCTTCTGGTTTTGCTGCTGTCTCCCCTTTTGGAGGTGCTGTTGTGAGGTAGAGCGCGAGGAAGTTGCGATCGGGGATGATGTTGAGCGAAGTTCTAGGGCCTTTGATGAAGCGGACGAATGGATCTGGGCGGGAAATTGGCCCAAGCGAGTCACGAGGTGGGGTTTTTGGCACATTCCCCTCCTTAATCTCTGACCAGGGATCCTTCTAGGTGTAAAGTGAGCGGGGGGGAGTGTGAAGGGTGCGGGGAGGGCGGCCGAGAGGGATTGCGGCCTTTTGCCACTATCTCACGTTCTGCTTCCTCGAGTTCTTCTTGAGTGAGTTCCCCTTCGGCGAGTCTCTGTTCTCTTGCTTCTCCCCAGCCTCCAGTTCCCCAACTTTGAGTATGCTTGATGCGCCGATGGCGGATCTCTATGTTCCCCAGCCGCCGCGTCGTGCGGACTCCTCGTCCCATCCTGCCGCGATGCACTCCTGATACAACTTTCCCTTTCTCTCAGCCGCTGCTTTTACTTCTTCCTATTTGATGCTGAGCTCTTTAGGTTTATCAGTGTATTTCCACGCCATGTCGATGTGGCGGTAAACCTCGCGAGGATATGGGCGAGGTCGGTTTTCTTCGTCAAAGGTTCCGGTGGTTGCTTCCAGGACCCAGCGGAGAGTGTCCGAGGCAGGTGTAGGCCGCGCCTGTATGCCGAGATTTTCGTCTCCTGTGCCGAAGACGCGGTGAGTGGTGACAGCCAGCTCCATCTCTGTCATGCTTTTGGGTTCTGCCTCGGCGCATTCTGCCTCTTGGATTGCCGCGAGATCTCTCTCAAGTTCTTCTGTGCGGCTTGCCGTGGGTGTGAAGCAGGTGGTGCAGAGTCCGTCGGGGCCGGGTTGGTGTAAATTTATCTCACGAGGGTGAGGGCTCCGACGGATCCAAGGACGGCCATCCGGGTGTTGACAGGCTTCGGCGTTCATGTGGGAGAAATCGAGGGGAATGAGATCCATGAGTTTGCCCGACGATGCTTTGCAGTCAGGTATGTCGAAGTCGAGCACGTAGACTCCATTGACTGATCGTGCTCGTCCGAGGTACTTGTGCGACTCGACAAGTACGTCGGGGGGGGCGTAGGTAAGAATGAGGTCGCGTGTGTAGGGGTCCATGGCGAGCATGACTCCACATTCAGAGAGTTGTGCGCTGGAAAGTAAGTTGAAGCGCAATTCCGGTACGATGAGCACGTCGTTGAAGGAGATGTGCGCGTTGCTATCTCGGGCTTTCAGCACTACAATGCCTTGTGCATTTGCGCGCAGTTGTTTGTTGTTGGCGATAGTAACGTAGGTGGTGGGCGCGCGGCTGATGTTCGAGATGTAACGAACGGATCCCACCATGTATTGACCGCAGCAGCTGTCCAGGTACCAGATATTGTGGTTGTCGTTGTTGTTGCGCAGAGGCAGTGCGAGCCGCAGTGTGACAAGATTCACCTTGTATCTTCTCTCAAATAATTCATCCTCTCTCCATCCCACGAGAACGAAGCGCTGGTGATCGTGGGGTGGGCTTTCTCGCAGTTTTATTGGCTGGTGCCATTCTTGCTCCTCCTCATCTTCGTAGTATTAGTGACATTCTGTGAAGGGGTTGTTTTACCCTTCTTCAGGTTGGACAAGCTCGCTGCGAGGTTCCACTTCTTCATCTCGTGGGCGACACCGAGTCGCCATGTTGGTGATTACGTTGTTGATGGCTCCTGCTTGAGGTGCTTGAGTCTGTTGTTATTGTTGTTGTTGTTGTTGTTGTTGTTGTTGTTGTTGTTGTTGTTGTTGTTGTTGTTGTTGTTGTTGTTGTTGTTGTTGTTGTTGTTGTTGTTGTTGTTGTTGTTGTTGTTGTTATTGTTGTTGCTGTGCTTGTTGTTGTGCAGGAGGGCGAGTAGCTTGGTATTGAGGCTGGAAATTACGAATGTCTTGTCGGCCGACCCAGTTGTTATGGTGAGTGGAGTGTGGGTGGCGGTTGTTGGATCGGAATTTACATCGATCCGTTGCAAATTTTGCAGTAGTGGCGCTTGGGTTGTCTTCGCTCTTCTCGGTTGTCAGCGTAGAAGGCGATGCGCTCTCGTCGTGGCGCGGAGCTTGTTCTGCTCAAGTCCATGTCTTGTTGTTCAATGAGGAGAGTGGCGCATAAAGCAGCTTCCAAAATAACCCCTCGTTGTCGGAGCAGCACCTTGCAGGGCTTCCACTCAGGTCGGAGTCCTTGAAGCACGATGTTGACAAAGATTTCTTCGGAAATCGCGCTTACATGTTTCGTGACTTGGTCACGAATGTTCCGACAGCGGTTAATATATGATTTTGCCTTCTCCCGTGCCCCATCTTTGTCTCCATGAGTTGCTGCAGGAGTCTGCTGGAGGTGACTGAGTCCTTTGGCTGATATACCTCGATGAGGTGCTTCCAGGCTTCCAAGGCTGGAGCTGCGCTCTCTTTGTAGGAGCGGATGCCGAGTTGCTCCGCAGGCGTTATGTTACGTAGCAGTACGATGTACCCCATGAGGGACTCGCTGTAGTACTGAGCCCGGTTTAGGGTAGGAGCCGTCGAAGTAGTGGTAGATCTGCATAGGAGAGCTCGAGCTCAAAACTCCTTGTGTAGAAGTCTTTGCCGTCAAACGCGGCGGTAGTCTTGATTTTTGAAACGCTAAGAAAGCGTGCTTGCGCGGAGTTGATTGCTTCATCACTTGGATAAGGGGCAGTTGATCCTGATTTGTCTATGTCCGGGGAGAAGGTGTGCGGGGCGGTATGTTGGCTTTTTGCAGCCGGTCGACCAGGTTGTGCTGGTTGGGAAGAGGTTCCCGCGTCGCCATTCCGCAAGGCTTGAAGTTGTTCTCCATATTTGATAGTTGCGAAAATAACGGCTCAAGTGCGGCGGTGCTGATCGTCGTTGTTGCCTCATTTGTCGCAGCCGGGCTGGCTTGTCCTTCAGCCGTTGGATTTGTTTGGCCTCCGGATCCTCCGGTCATCTAGGGCCTGGAGCGTATGCCGCTCGCCAGTTCGGCAAATTTTACGGAAGTGGGGTTGCGAAGAATGCATGAGTAGCTCTCATACCATGTTACAATCCTAAACATGACTGTGCCAGGGATCGACTCAGGGTTGTTCGCAGATATTGTTGCAGCGGAAGTGTAGACCTCAGGCCAGAGTGAATGTAAAATGACTGAGATGATAATGACATGCATACAACGAGTTTACATAGGAAATACAGGGAATACAAAAAGACCTAGACTAGCCATGTACTCTAAGGGGTACGTTCCCTTATTACAGCGAAAATTCAAACCGTGCGGTGCGGGAATCCGTTTCAAACTTGTTCCCGCTATTTTCACTTCAAATGTGTTAACTGCCTGTATCGGTCTTGATCTAACAGTTTCTGGTGTCGCTTTGACTCTTCTGACTCCTCGACTTGGTACTCGGTTAAGTTGGCTCCTGCAGCGTACAAGAATGCCTTCTCATCAAGTCTCATATGGTAACAAAACTGAACCACACACCCACTGCCACCGTCGTGACCCACAGTATAGCCAACACACCCTAGTATCGTGCCACACCACGCCACACCCATTGCCAGCTGAGCCAAGTAGCGCGCCAAATCAGTTTCGTGATAGTTGAATAATACAAGTGAAACTACTAAGTTAAACAACCTGCATTGAAAACAGACTAACTACAATAATACCCTGGTAAAATCAGTGTAAGGAAACTTTTGGGTTGCTGCCATCAGGGTACGAATATTTTTACCCTATGGGTCAGGGTAATGGGGGCTTGGAACCCTGATTTGTTAGGGTGGGCCTAAACCAATTTTGGGCCCTGGTTTAGGGCCTTGCGGCAATGTGGACAGGACTAAACTCGCCATAATATAAGGTAACTATGTCTTGTCGAACTATATTTATATGTATGTTTGTATTTATATGCTAGAAAAGGGCTAGGCTTTAGGGAGTACAACATCTCGTACGTGTATCCTTGTACCCTTGCTACTAGTCAACTTTTCTCTAATATGGCATATGGCTAGGTCGATAGATTCTTTTTCCGCCTTCGCCGCACCTAGCCCGAAGCTACGCTTCAGTACGCCATTCCGTCAAGCGCCCCCTATGCGCCCTTAGACCATCCAGCCGAACGCCCCGTAAGCCTCGTCTCTTAAGAACCTACCGTAGTTACTCGAGTAGTGAGAGAATGAATTAGATTAGGTCAAGGGTGGGATACAAGCGAAGTATCGAGAGACTATCTGTATCCCCTAACATGCATCTCACTATAACATACGGTATCTATTTCTACAATTATAGTTTGACACACCCCCATAGGCTAAGTGAGGGGCATCAAAACAAGACTAGTGTAGCCGAGGGCCTACATCCACAAGGCCTAACTGCAGATAGAACTTGTGGTGGTTTATTTGGCGGAAGGGACTTGGTGAAGATGTCTGCAGTGCTGGCCTCTGAGGCCACGAAGTCCAAGCATGCCTGGCCGCGTCGCTGCAAGTATCTGACGTTGATGTGCTTCACTCTGCTCTCTAGTCGAGGCTCTTCACAAAAGAGGATCATGACCTTGTTGTCTGCGAATAAGGTCGGTGCAGAACTCGGCCGCTCACCAAGGTCGGTGAGCAAGAAAGTCAGCCAGCAAAAATCCTGCGCAGCAATGGCACCGTCGTAGATCTCTGCCTTAGCACTAGACGAAGCCACAGACGACGACTGAGTAGACCTCCACAATACAGCTCCAGCACCCAAGCTGAAGTAGTAGCCCTGAGTGGACCTCTGTGTCTCTACGTCGTCTGCGTAGGAAGAGTCGCAGTGATGGTGAACACAACTGGCTGTGCCCCTCCAAGCACAAGCCCCATGCCTGAAATAGTTGCCACGTACTTCGCCACCCCCACAGCAGCTGTCCAGTGAACATGACGGTGTCTCCTAGTCACGACAAAGCGAGACAGGAAAAGCGAGGCCCGGACGCGTACAAGTCATTAGGTACATGAGGCAGCCCACAAGCTCTACGTAGGGACCACTAAACTCAAAAGGCTCGTCGGAAAAAGGGCCGGTGAGTTTGTGGTCAACGGCAAGAGGGGTGGACTATGTGGTGGAGAACTGAAACCCGAACCGCTGAAGGACCTGCTGCACCATGTGTGACTATGAAAGTGTGATAGTGCAAGCAGCTCTGTCCCTCGTGATCTGCAAGCCAAGGTAGTGGCGCAGCTCACCAAGGTCAGTGCCCGTGTGACTCTTCTGCATTTTGGACTTCACCTCATCCAGAACGGCCCTGTCTGCTGTAGCAAAGACCAAGTCATCGACGTAGACGAGATTGAAGAAATAGGTGTGGAACCCTGAACAAACGAAGAGCGACGGGTCATGGGACGAAGGACGAAACCCGAGGGCAGCAAGAGTGGTGCGCAGCATATCGTGCCACTCACGGGGGCGCCTGGCGGAGATTGTAGACTTGTCGCCTCAGGCTTCATTGGGTCCCAGGCGGGAAAGTGCCAGATCTCCTCGCGTAGGTGGCTGTGGAGAAAGGCAGTGGAATCGAGGTTGTGCAGCTCGTAGTCTTGCTATGCTGCAACGTGAAGTGACACCCGAAGAGTGTCATTTTTGGGGTCGCAGCGAAGGTTTGGAAGAAGTGAACTCCCTCACGCTGACTGAAGCCCCTTACGTGCCTTGAACGCAGGCAGTGATCCAGGCGACCGGTCCACATTGAAGAACCACATGCCATCGACAATGTTTGCCCCAAGAGGACGAACATTATCGATGTAGGTGCCTGTAGATCTCCAAGATGCCATCTTTGAGTCCATGGCCGATATCCACTAAGAGGCCCACTGCCCTGACATTGCCTCACGGTACGTACGAGGAGTTGGTATGTCAGGGGCGTCGGGGTCTTCCTCAGGGGCTAACGGCATGGCACAGAGGTGGGGAGAAGCGGCTACCAAGTACTCTAGCTCAAACTCTCTGCCCTCTATGACGTCACAACCAGGGGCAAACTCACCCCCGGCGGACAGAGGATGGGCAGCCACCACAAAGGTGGTGTAGTCAAGGTGTCGGGTGGCGGTAGTAAGAGCCCAGACCTACGACGGAGAGGTACAAGGGCCCTTGAATAGAGAGGCGAGAACACAGGTAATAACAGGACGAATGGCACGGTAGTAGTCAGGTGATAGGGGTAGAGGTGGAGGCTATAAGAGACGATTTAGGAGGTGACAGGAGAACAGACTGAGGCGGAGAACAATGAGGAATCGAACAAAGTAAGACAGTATGGAGGTTGTCAAAAGGAGATGAGGGACGTGCACGAGCGGGACAGCGAACTGTACACTCGTGCGGGACAACAGGAGGAGACGACTATGACCGAGGAGCAGAGAAAATAGCTAGAGATGATTCCGAGGGGGGGGGGGGGGGGGGGGGGGGGGGGGGGGGGGGGGGGACGTAGGACCGTAAGCAGAACAAGACAGTGGGCAGTCTGGAGTAGGGGAAGGAAAAACAAGGGCCCGAAGGCCACTCATAGATGGAGACAAAGGCTGCTATGACGGCGGCTGCTACTGCTGCCACTGCTGCTCCTCCTTCCGCTGCAGCTCCAATTGCTGTCGCTCCAGCTCCAGCCTCTTCTGCTCCAACGGCTCCCGCTCCTCGCGGTCCAGCTGACAAAGCCTCTGGAAACTCATCCGGTAGCGGTGGGGAGGGGGGTAGGCGCCACTGTAGCAGTGCCTCCAGCTCTAGGCTCCTCAAAACTAGCACTTCCAGCTCCAGCACCCCCAGTACCAGTGTTCCCAGAATGAGCACCCCCAAAACTAGCACCACCAGTGCCAGCAACCTCAACGCAAGCACCTCGAGAACTATCACCTCCAGCGCCAACCCTCAGCTCCAGCACCCTCAGAACTAGCACCTCCAGCGTCAGTACCCTCCGCTTTCAGCACCCGAAGAACTAGCACCTCCATTGCCCATACCCCCAACACCAAAACCTCCAGAGTCTACTGCAACCTGTCACGGTAGTGCCGAAGGCCGCTGCAGTGAATGTAAGGACGACTGTGGGGAAAGGGGCGGTACTTAACGTGCGACCGAAGGGAGAGGGGTAGCATGGGACACACCTCACGGGGCATGACCCATTGGGTGGGGGGGGGGGGGGGGGGGGGGGGGGGGGGGGGGGGGGGGGAATTATCGGAGGAGCGGGAGCAGGTGGAAGAGCATGGGCGAGGAACAAGGGAGGGGGAGAACCGGAAGACCTCGACAAGAGTATCGGACATAGTAGGATACAAACTCATCAAAGGTGACGTTACGGGAGTTAAGGAACCGGTGGAGAGGCGGGTGGTAAAACGTGAGAGGAGTCCAGCGGGAAAGTGCCAGTAAAGCTAGGAGAGAAGTTTTAATGTGGGATAACGTGTCTTAATAGCTGCGAGCAGGTCCTTGGCAAATCGAACTTGAGAGAATTGAGCCTCCTCAGTCTCGGGGAGAAGTGTGGAGAGGGCAATGCAGGCCACAAAGTCCTGTGATTGCCGCACTGAACGAGATGTATGGGCCTTATTGAAGTGCGCCTGGGCCACCTCATTAGCCTCAGAACCCAGGAAAGGAGGGGAGGGAGGCTCAGGCAGGTCTCCGGAGGCGTGCGGCCAGAGCGTATCATCGTCCTGGCAATGGCTCTTGAGAAAACGCTCGGCACGGATAAGCCAGGAGGGAAACTTAAGGGTTCTGCCCACAGCATCATAGCGCAGTACGTGAGGGGCCGCCATAACGAGGGAAGTGCCGACCTAGAAGCTTAGGGCTAGAAGTGGCCGGAGCTAGAAATGAGTGAGGCATACGGCGCTTGAAGAGATGAGGCGAGAAATAGCTTGAGCTAGGAGCGACCTAAGCCACAGTGGCGAGGCTAGGACGAGCCGAAACGAGTAACGAGCGAGGTCGAAGTGCTAATCGAGAACCGAGCGGGGTGAGGAACACTACTGAGAACATTGGGTCGAGCCTAGGTCACGCTAGTAGAGGGTACTGCGGCTGCCAGCCGCTGTGGGTGGAACGCCAGTGGTAGTAGGCGCTAGAAAACGTGCTGCACGTGTGGATTGGTGCGGGTGGGTATGTTCTAGTGCGGTGGGAAGTGGTCAGGTATGGTTCAATGCAGTGGAGTGCGGTCG